CGAACGTTGGATTTTGTTTCAACATTAAACAGTCGCCTTAGCTAAAGAATGCAAAATTATCGCTGGTATTGAGAAGAACACGAGGTCAAAAAAAATTTATTGGAAGTTTTATTTTGTTTTAAAAAAAGCATTTCTTTCATTATCCTTTAGAGCACGTAAAGTGACTGATGCATCTAGGATAAAAGCAGATGAAGAACATGTTGAGGAGGTCACGAGAATACAAATGAAATTATCAATTCTTTTGAAAATGATCAAAAAGAAGATCTTCTTCGCCTATCAAGTCGTGTTGCTGCTCCAGAAGATATTGCCTCTGATTTATCAACAGCTTTTGACAAAGAAAATAAAGTTTTTACTTCATTTCTCTCCAACAAACTGTTGATGGAAGAACCCAACATTTTTTCTAAAATTTCGAAAATGAAACTTAAGCCATTGGAAACATTAAACAAGTCTGCATCGTAATTAACTTCCAAAAAAAATGAGGCAATCTCATTAAAAACTCACAGAAACACTTTTATCAGATTGTTCTTAATTACACTGGTCAACAGCAAATTTGGTGTCTCAGTTTTGTAAACTGATTTTGGATAATTTTGATGTGCTGAGTCCAAAAATAACACTATTTTTGCTGGGTCAGGTCGAGATTTTAAACTATCGTTAATTTTCTATTTTTTAACTTTTAAATACCCGAGAAAGGTACAACAGAAGCACTAACCATTTACCTTTTAAAGTTCTATTATCTGAACAAATTTAAATTTTTTAGCACTAGCAATACAAAGAAGAAAGCATTTGAATAAGCAATTTTTGATTGAATTTCAATTAGGGAGTTTAGGTTTTGCGATTATTATGGGATATTTAAAGATAAAATAAGGCTTTATTTAGCCCATACTGAAATTCAATGGTAAAACTTGTTAAAACACACCAACATATTAATGTACGTAAAAAATAATAAAAAGTAGAAATAAGAAAAATAAGCCAGATGTTTTTTGCTATGTTTGTGGTGAATACACACTTGCACCAAATCGCAATACTGTCACTACCTTTATCAAGCGCGTTTACTATGCATATTTTGGCATGAAGCTCGGCGATCAAGACAAAAGTTGGGCACCTCACATGGTTTGCAAAAGATGGCACGCAAAAGTCCATGAACTTTGGCATCCCCATGATTTGGCGAGAGCCTTAAATCATGCAACCGATTGCTACTTTTGTGCTATCAATGTCATGGGAATTAACAGAAAAAATCGCACAACACTGGAGTATCCCAATCTACCGTCAGCTATGCGCCCTACTCCTTATAGTGAAGAAATTCCCGTACTTGTATTTGAAGATACAAGTATTGAAGAAAGCAGTAGTAGCCAGGATGAAACTCAAAGCATTGCCACTACCGTTGATGCATCCTTTCCACATGACTAAATTGTTTTCCCGATGGCAAAATTGTTTCCCAAAACGAACTAAACGATCTTGTTCGCGATTTAAATTTGCCAAAAGACTCTGCCGAACTTCTTGCATCTCGTTTAAAGGACAAGAACATGCTAAATGGTAAAGTTAAGGTACTTTTCTTCCGTACCAGGCACCAGGAATTTTTAAGATATTTTGCTCAAGAAAAAGAATTAGTCTATCGCAATGACATAGTAGAGCTACTGAAACATCTCGGCGTACCTGAATACAAATCAGAGGACTGGCGACTTTTATCGACAGCAGCAAAGGTCCTTGAAATGTGTGTTGTTACACAATGGAAATCAATTTGCATCTGTGCCATTGGCACATTCGACAACATTAAAGAACAGCATGAAGCAATTAAGTACGTCCTAGAAAAATTTCTTATGACCAACATAAATGGCTGATTTGCGTTGACTTTAAAATGGTCAACTTCTTGCTTGGTCAACAGTCTGGATTTGCCAAATACCCATACTTTTTATGCCTCTGGGATAGTAGGGATCGTACTCATCATTATCATCATTACGTGAAAAAAGAATGGCCAGTACGTGAAGAGCTTGCAAGTTGTAGAGCAAAAAATGTGATAAACAAGCCTCTAGTTGACAGGGGACGTATTTTATTTCCTCCACTGCACATAAAGTTCGGTTTGATAAGGCAATTCACTAAAACTTTGGATAAAGATGGACGGTGTTTTCAGTTTCGTTGTAAAACCTTCCCCAATTTGTCAACTGAAAAATTAAAAGCTGGTATTGATCCCGAAAATCTTGGCTCTTTAAGCGATGAGCAAGGAGAACGCTTTCACCATGACTTAAGAGAAAGGTGGGACATGGTGATGATGGCAGACTACTGTTGGAATTTAAAAAGAGATGTGCAAGCACCAAAACATTCGCGACAATCAAAAACGAAAATTTAGACCGTAATAATGCAAACATTAAGTTTTATTTTTAGTTACATGTACTGTACATGAAGTGTACATGATTCTTTCTTGGAATACTGCAATTTTATCATAAAAACTGACATTTTGTTTTGAAACATCTTGAAAACATGTACATCTTGAAAACATTGTTTTAAAAAAATATAACTAAAGTCGCATAATTTTAAATTCAAATTTGCAAAAAAATTTGACCTCCGAGAGCAAAATGAATGTTATTTCTAGATTTAGCATAGCAAAAATATAGTAAATCTGTCAAAAAATATCAGACACCTTTTAAAAAGTTTCTTTTTGTTGACCAGTGTTATAGACAAAAATGGTCCATTGATATGTAACAAATGCTTTTATTTTGCCGTGGTCGCTACCCATTATCGTTATCAACCATAACTTGGACTATGTGCAAAACTAACAAAGCAAAGATACTTCAGTCATTAAATGCTGAATTTCCTTATTATGTTATCGATGATTTTTCTGAAGACAGTTGACTCCTCATTGATGTTATGACGTATTTTAATCCACAGTTCTTTTGCCCGAAACATTTGGAGAACTTACTCAAGACATTCTTGTATTTTTTAATGTCACATTAAGGAAAATGTGTGGACTTTGTAAGTGATTGCTATCCATCGACAAGTGTTTCTTCAGGGCTTTTCAGATTTGGGATCGACAAGAGAGGTGAATGACGTAGTTGTCAATAACCTTGAAAAATATTCTTGTGCTCAGTTTGGTGATTTAAAAGCTGAGACTGTGAATGATGCACGATACGACATATTCCGCCAACAAAAACTTAGGGAGTATTGTTTGCCTCCCAATAAGGACGCTTTTGGTTTATATATCACCGGATGTAATCACGGGAATCATAGGCAAGAAGTAGAGAAAAATGAAAGAATTATTGTTAGACGATTTTCTGGTGTACCTGCAATGGAAGACACTAGCTGCAGTTGCAAATCTGCCTGTAAGAAAAAAAAGATGTGGTTTCAAGAAAAAGGACATGGAGTGCACTGAGCTCTGCTCTTGATCTGAATTTCAAAATATAAAAACTTCATACAATGATGAAAATGATGATAATGATTGTTGTCAAGAAAACATTGATATAGACGATGCTGAACAAGACTGTTTCTAAGCGCATTACAAGCGTATTTCAGAATAAAGAGTCCTTAGATATTGTAATATGTGGTTGGCTCTTTTGTGCTCTACAAAACGTTTGTAGGAAATGGTCCTTCATGCAGTGCATAATTGTAAGACTAAATAATGCATAAAATTGCTAATTCAGCATATTGGCAAGTATGCAGCTGTCGTTATTTCAGTAGCAATTAATTGCATGGGATTGTCATAATATAAATTTTTGCTCATTTTTCATGCTCGAACTGTCTGTATTCTTTGATTTTAATAAATTCAACTTTTTTTTATTTTTTATCTCAAGAGTTGCACTTTTGGCAAATTACAACATTGTTGTTTTAGCGTAAAACTGATCACAGCTAACGTATAAAGAAATGAAAAAGTAGTCCTCAGATGGGGTAAACGAAAGTTGTTACTTAGCATGTTTCTGCTGCGTGGCTGATGCCCTAATATACATTTGTTCATTTTAATTGTCATTTTGACTTTTAACCTTGATGTGCACGTGCAGTAGCTTGCGTCGCCATGTGAATCGTGCATTTGGTAAATAAAATTGTTCGTAAATAAAACTGACAGGCTTACACGTGCAAACAGAACTAGTTTTTTTTATCTTAAATTATGAAGAGGGGGTGCTGCTTCTTGTATTTTCACGTTTAACTGTGCTCGCAGAACTGCTGCAATATTTCTTTTTAAAGCAGGCTTTCAGAATATTGAAACCAATGTTAAATTGTAAAACTTTTCCAAAACAAATAAAAATAAAATCGTCGCAATCAAGCCTGTCTCCTTCTGAAAATGAACAAAAAATTTTGTATCTATTATCAAAACAGATTAATAAGTTTCATATGTTTTTTCAAGCAAATTATAAAATGTTACTTTTCCACTTGACTAACACTTAAACTGCCAGTTCTTGTTTCAAAGTGTTCATGTCGGCGAAATAATTTAATTGCGATATTAAATTCAATTGTAATTTCTAACATATCAGTGAAAACGTTTTTCTTTGAATTAATCGTGCCATTTTTATGGTGTTTTAAAATTTGCAAAATGCTCTTTTTATGGACGACGAAGTATGGAACGACTTCCCTATGTCCTGTCATGCAAGAGACTTGTCAATACTAAATATATTTACCAACTACCTTGGATGACGTCCATAGTTTGCTGGATATAGACTTCAATTGAAGACGGACAAGGTCCATTTTGGAAGGCAACTTAAACCGCCATGACAAGAGTATAATTTGTCAAAATTGAAATTTTTTTTTACCTATACGTTACAAATCATACTTACAATTACGAACAATTTCTTTGCTGGCAGTGGCACATTAATCAGTATTCAATTGTTGCCGAAAAGAGGGGTGTTTTTTGTTTCTTTTTTGTTTCTATAAACTGAAATTTTAGAAGCATTTTCAAACAAGCAAAATTTTTGTTTAAGAATTTCTCTTCCCAGTTTTGCCATCAATTCTTTGCCTGTTCTTAAGTAAAATACCCTGCACATAGCTTTATAAGTAAAATTTTACTTCTCCCACTTTAGATGGCCATGATTTACGAGCAGTATGAGAAACTGAAGGTAAGAGCAACCCTATTATGATACTTTGTAGCCTGTAAAGCAAACCTTATCTAAAGGAAGCTTTATGTTAAGAGTATTAAATTTGGGAAAATTGTTGCTAAGAGACAAAACAAGTTGCTTACCATTATATTGCCTCTTGAGTTTCTTCAACACTTCACAGACCTAAAACACACTACAGAACTGTGGGTTTTGAACATATATATATTTTCTCAATTTCTTGTACTGAGTTTTCCAATCCTGATGATGAATGATGTAAATAAATATCTTCTGCGCATATAAATTCTGAAAGACTTGAAAATGTTCCAAGACTTATGAAAATGTATCAATCTTACAAGCCAAAAACATGGGATTATGTTGTTTTGTTGTTTTATGAGTTCCTTGAGATCTAAGAGCGTTTCAGAATACTCAGTAGAATCAATATTGCATACAAACGTTTCTACATTATGATATCGTTTTTCAACATTCTATGTACATTCGAAAACCGTAAAGTTACCTTTAATTTAGTATGGGTGAACTTAAAACTTTGCTTTTACGATCAGGGCCACTAAAAGAAATGGAGAGAGGAGATCTGAAAATTGAGTTTTAACACACACTTATATAGTTTGAATATATAATAAACTTCCTTATAGTACTTGTGTCTTACTTAACGTATGCCTTCCATAATGAAACTTTTGCTAGATACGCTACTGAACAACAGAGATGACAAAGTATAAATGAATACTTTTGTATCTACTGTGGGAGGTAATGACAAAGACGTTATATAAAGTCTTCCAAACACGCGAAAGTTAAACCAGCTTTCTGCATCACATTTTATTTGTTATTCGAAAAAAAGAATCAGCCATCGATTTTGTGGCAGATTTGTATAGAGTATCCAAAACTTACCAACTAGGAACACTAAATAACGAGGTAATACAAGACAACCTCCTCAACGGGTTGATTCTACACGCAAAAGCAAAAGGACAAAGAGGTATATTGACACGACATGAAATCTGGAGTTAAAATGGAATCATAAAGGAGTGCCGTTCAATATTTAGACAAGAAAACTTGTCAATGTCTACGATGCGCCAGGTCAACTGTACACAAAAGAGAGGATCGTCAAACGAGAAATAATACTTGTTTAAATTGTAATGAGCATGGAAATTTTCAGGGGTATGCTAAACTACCTCAATCGAAAAACTTCAATCTGTAGATTACAAAAGCACAGTGTTCCGAGGAGATTATATTGTTCATACAATAAACGGTGAAGAAAATTAACAAAATTGGCCGTAAGATTTATTACTTGGATAGTCTACAGTAGTGCAAAGATTGATTCCGGTGCTAATGTGCACGACGGTGTCACGGTGATTCATCACCAGCATTTATGCAAACAGAAATAACACGATAGCATACAACTATATTAAAGAATTGTGCCGACCAAATAAAGAAAAGCTGTCAGTAAGGCACCATGCTACAGGCATCGCATACCTTTTGCCTAGGGCCTTACATTGATGTCTTTCTGCAAGCTGTTTCGAATTGGCATAGCAGACTTAATTCGAAAACTTTGTTCACGGGCAGCTGCATCAGAATACCCGAAATAAACAATGAAAAAAGCATTCCGAACATTTGAAGAAAATATTTAACAGATTCCTCACAAACAAGCAATGCTAGTTACTATTGCTTAAAATGAAAATACACTGGCAAAAACTTAGTGATCGTCCATTTTAACGAATTTTATCTTCATTTCCAGCTTTTTTTCAGCATTGACGTGATTGATTTAAATTTTAATATCTCTTTTTGTTGGTAGGTCAAAGACGAAAATGTAAGGGTTTTGTTTGTAACAGTTGTGAAAGCACAAAATATCACTACCTGGCCTCTCTTTGATGCTTGTAAGTGAAGACTTTTACGGCTGTTAGCCTATTATAAACTCAACAAAATGATAAAAATTTTACAAGCTCCAAGTTTATGAATCCGACTCTTTTGAACGACTCAATTTTGGTTTTTCTAATACAAAATGAAATTCCAACAAAACAAAAGAACATAAATTTTAATAGCCTTTATTCTCTAAAGCTTGTTCTTCTATAAGTTAATGATGAAGTTAACGTTAATGTGTTTGAATCGCACAATGATGTTATTGATGTTGTCTTTCTACTTCGAATTTTCCCTCAATTTTAAATAAACAAGTCAAAAACATGCAGTGGCTTAGCCAAAACCTTTCATTGACTTCATGGTATTCAAGTTATAAATGAGAATTTAGAGTACAGACCATCACATAAATTTTTTTAGCAACGCTTCAATTCCTGCAGTTATTCAGTGCCCTTGTTGAACGAATTTTTTGACTCTAAGGAATGTGTACACTATCAAATCGCCTTGCATACTAAAGTTGATGTTTTTGAGATTGATATGAAATCGTTTTGCTCGACCAATTTCAACGCAGAAATATGAATGATGGTATAATAATGTTAATGTTAGCTACATATTTGACAGTAATGTGATTACTTACAATTATTTTTGTGTTATTATAAGATCGTATAGTCTCTTTCTAATTCTCTATTCTCCATTATTAAATCAGGATAGTTATTAACATACCAGTGTTTTAAGGACAAGTGTAAGAAAGAAGAAATATGTTTACCAAGGCATTTGCTTTAATAAAATAAGCGTATAACTATAGCTATAACTCAGATTTGTAGTTGTATTATTTAAGTCATTACATGTACATTTATTCTATTAATTGAATTAATACATGCAATTCTCAATATTAATGATAGTTTCTTAGGCTTTAATAAATTTTTGCTGATAAATTCAGAAAGAGTTGTTAAAAAATTAAAAATAGCTCTTGAAATTGTGCAAGTTTATTTAAAAATGTTTCTTGCTACTTCAAAAAATGGATTACAATTGTTCTTAGTCAAGCCATTCCATTACGGACAATTATAACAGAGAGCTTCAGCAGGAGTGCGACTACGACAACGAGTTCAACGAAGTTTGACCATATAAGGGAATGGCACAAGGATGTTTGTTGTACATGTCGCTTAGTCAAAATCTTGTTTAGTTGTAAACAACAGAACGAGGCTTTTTATTGTGAAAAACACTGAAAATTGCGAGCCAGCTACGGCTCTATTTATCAATAATGATATCAACGAATCGGTAATACTGATTTTGCGAGAATATATGACTCTTTAGACAAAAAAATCTTCACTATTTCACATTTTATGTATGATATATTTGAACTATTTTACACTTCAATTGCGTTTAGAAATATGTCTGAAGTAAAGCCTGGATGATCGAAAATAGTACTGTAAACTAATTTCTTACACAATGAAAAAATATGCCACTTTTTTTGCTTAATAAGACATCGTAGTCGCGACTGTGAATTTTTTACAAAAAATCGTCCCGGGAATGATGACGGCTACGTGTTGTTGTTGTCACAGCCATGTTTTCGAGCCAAAATGACGTAGTTCGTACTCGTTGTCATGTTCGTAGACTTTCCTAGAGCTCCCTACTATCTGTTTCAAGCGTTTGGATATATGAAGCAAAATTGAACAGTTTTTCTGGTCATTTAAGGTTAAAACAGACATGTTAGGCACAGAAAAGATAATGTTGTTTTAAATGAACCATAATATTTTTATGTTTTGCTGCCTGTAACATGCTCGTAAAAACAAAAATGTTGATATTAAACAAAACAAATATCGTTATAGCAATTAAGTAATTATTGAGCACAGTTTTCATTACAAACGATATTGCAGGTGGAAAACGTAAAGGATGAGTGTGCAACATAATACACAGCATAACATGTGGTAAACTGAGATTGTAGTTGAAATATGTGCTTAAAGAATATCTGCTATCTAGATTTTATATATTTGACTATTAACGAACTTAGAATTGCTCAAATTTAAAGATTTGCTTAGATTGTCATTGTTTTCACATAGGTAATAGCTATGCGCATCTATGGTTATCAAGCTGGGTTGGACCTGTTTACAGATTGGTAAAAGGTGTTCTGCCAGATGTTTGTAAGTTGTCATACATATTTATGCCATTAAAATTACAATGATACAATGGCGTAGCAGCACAACTGGGGACCCCTTCGATAACCGTATTAAAATCTAATAACTGCCACATCTGGTATGATTTCGCTTTCTACCATTTCTAGTTTATGATATGCAATTTTTCCTGTTTTAATCCACAGTATAATGATAATTTTCTAATCTGACATGGGCCAGGGGGCCGTGGGTTCGCCCACTCTGAGCCCATTGTAGTTACGCCACTGTAATATAAATATGGTTGCCTTGTTTTGTTCTGTTAATAGCAAACTTAAGATCACGCAACGCGCCCTCATGATGTCGCTGATCAGAGCCCTCTATGTGTAAAAGTTAGAGCACCTATTGATCTCTGCCCTATCGTTTATTGAGCAATATTGATCACCTGATCAATTTCCGCATTTTGGTTCCTAGTTTTGAAATTAGAGCTAGTGTTTGTATGGCGATTACTGCAGTGATATAGTATTTTGAGAAAAATTTCGTTTGTTTATGGATAAGTGTGTAACAATTGATCGTTGACGGCAACTAAGTTATTAAATATCGCCAGAATCAAGGATTACGAATAAAATAAAAGAAATGCCTTTACGTCAAAATTACGAAATTTGATTGTGTATGGTGATTGTTCTGCTGAACTGCTATTTTTAGTTCATCATTTAAAAATGAAGTGAGTATTATTAGGATATTCACTAAAACAAGTGAGTACCTTATATTATAGGTAAAAATTATACAAATGTACGTTGCCTTCTGTAGCTCAAAGAAGAACAAATTTGCCTTTTTTCTAGACCTGTCAATGAGATTTATCAGTAGGTTTTGGTCTATATGATCACATGCAGAGGCACATTTCCATAATTTGAACTAGGGGGCTCTTTGATGTAAATTATAATTGTTGCTGGTTTTCTGATGTATATGAAATTGATTCTAGCTTTCTGATATATATAATTTACTAGAAATACAAGGCATTAAATTTTAACAAGAAGGCTGTACCCCTTTAACAAACACCTGTGTGATGAAGAAAAACATACAGAAGTTGTGTTATTCCTCATCCCATTTATTTAACTCTTTGTTAAATTAAAAATCAGATTATACTAAAATGCTATACCAAAGAATCTACAAACAGTAATATTCATAGAAAACAGACTGTCCTTCAACAGCAGAAATGTTTCATATTAGAGAAATATATATCCATTTCAACAAAAGAAATGTTTCACCAAAATGTTTAACAGAATCTTATAGCATTTCCATTAGAATTAAACTTTAATTATAATCTCATTATACCCTGCAAAACACACAATCCACTTCTTCTTATAAAGGAATAAAACATTTAAGGCCTCGTGCATCTTGGAAAAACATTGAATATTTCAGTAACTAAACAATCTATAATTTTCTCGTGAGCAAGAAAGTTTTGTGATCTGTCAGAATAAAAACTGTCATGCTTGGAGAAAATTGAAGGGCATGCACAACTCTCCACCATTAAATTGTTAAAAATCTTTAACACAAATCTGTCAGGATCATAATTGCACGATTACTATGACTCAAAGAACGTCTTGTCCAACTATTTGATAACACTGATCCCAGAATGATATCGCTGCTCGTCACCAAGCTAAACGATTTTGAGAACTTTTTACAGAGTCGGAATATATGCCCAAAAAATGTTCACAATACGTAAAATACTTCTTAAAATGGGCCACGCTCGATTTTGAATCATGAACTAGTAAACCGCAAATGAAGATTAAACCAATGAAGTTAAATAAGTTCTGTTTACATCCCACAATACAGGCACGTAGCCAGAACGATAGTTAGGGAGCCCATATTCATGTACTCATTGTATAATCTATAAAAAAAACAATGGATTTCAAAAGAAACTAATACGGTATGATATGCATATATGAATATGCCCCCTCAATTATCGCTCTGGCTACGTGCCAGCCACAATAACAACAATCGTAAGCGTTTATAATGTTTACATCATATGCTGCAACAAGTCGTACACTAGTCATCCCTCTAAAAATACTTATGGTGTTGGTGATCGATTTTCTTAATCAGGTCTGTTGCTACAACGCCACCGTTGTTTTTAGATTTGGTAATGTCGTCGTGCTAGAGGTGCGTCGTGGATCTTAAAGTGCTAATGCAACGAATTTTATTGTTTTGCTAAATAAAAAGAAACAGCCATGACTATAGTCATCACGCCATATTTCAAATACAGACTTACACAGCAGAGAATTTTTCCGATATAATGTATACATGAAAAAATTTCTCAATTCTGATGAGTTAAGAGCAGTGCAGTTTTTCCTAAATACCAGTGCAAAAATGCGAAACACGGGTGCAAAAAACCGAAACACCAGTGTTGATTTCACTTCAAAGCTGCTCCTGATTTGTTAGTCAAACAAAGACATAATGTAAGAGCAAATCCAAATAAAACATTTCAAAAGCGGGTAAGTTAAATTATCGTAAACAAAGCAATTACAACGGCTGGCGTACGTTTTAAGTAGATTTTCTTTAGCGATGGAGTTTACAGTTCACCGTTTGCAAAGTGTTTCTGGATGAAAATAGCAACACTGCTAAACGTATATACCTTGTTCTAGCGGAATGTGTAGAAGATATGGTGTTGTGAAAAGTAATAGCCCATGGAATTGAAAAATAAGATAATTGAGAAATTTTTTCATGTATATTATTCAAATGTAATAGCATGGTTTCTCGTGCTATTTGGGAAACAAGCTTTCGTGAGTTTTTCAAGGACTTCAAATTGCCCTCGTCCTTCGGACTCGTGCAATTTTGATGTCTTTGAAGAACTAACTCGTGCATGTTTTCCCAAATTGCACTCGAAATCATGCTACTACTTATACAAATATTATTTAAAAAAGATTATGTTTCCAGTGATCTGTTTCTAAAATACTTATTTTAGCATATTATAAAAAATAATTGCGTAGGAATCATTTTATGAGCCAAAATATATAGAAAAACGACGAGTAATGTGGCATCGGCCATACACATCTGTAGTTCGTAAACAAAACGTGTTTCACTTATGACGTCACAATTTATTAACATGGACACTTGAAAAGTTCACACATTAGTTCTGTATTAACTACCTTCTACTAAACAGAAAATGTTCATGTATGTATCAAATTTATTCTAAAACTGTCGATTTTTATTTAAAGGGAAAAAAGGCGGGAGGGGGGGGGGTCAAAATTCATTGCATAAACACTTTGAAAGCAATATTACCAGACAAGGTGATATTCATAAATTCATGTTCCGCTATATTAGTTTCTATTGAACTCAAGTGTGAGTATGAATATATTAATAAAGCTTCCACAATTATGGTTTAGCGCTTTCCTGATTACTGGGACTTTTATTTTCTCCTAATAATAGGAATAGGAGTATTTATTTCTAAATCAATATATTCATATATAAGAGAGGTTTAGATTAAATTGTACCATGAATATTCAAGCCAGTATGTATTGTTTCTAATTTTCTTTCTCGCTACCTATAGAAATTATGTTTGATGTCTTCTTATTGACTTTTCCACCCCCGAGTCGTTTTTACTTCTTTTGGAAAAGGTTAATGACAGGATGTTTTTGCAAGCCATTAATACCACACTATAATTCGAGGGCAACTTTACCCAGCTAGTTGTCCTTTTGCTCGACTGTTATCCAACGTCAATCCCGTTAGACCAAGTAAATCTTTTGCCGTTTTACTCAAAACAGAAGAATTTTCTATTTTAAGCCTTAGCTCATTTCTACTTCATAATTTACATCGCCGAGTGGTAACAGAAATCGGCTTTCCCTCACGTCGGAAACTTTCAACTAGATTATTTGCAAAGTAAATTCATACACGATTCACTGAACCTATTCAATAACAGACTTTATAAATAAATATCTTCTCATTTCTTTATTTCTCCTTGACTATATATACCAGACACTCCTAAGATTTGTTATTCCCTCTGCGACCTAGTTATTACAAACCAAAAGCATGCCTTGAGTGACATTAATGATGAAATGTACCCTTAAATGTCGAGATATTTGTTAAAAGTGCTTAGGATGCGCTTTCGGACAGTTGATTGTTTTGGAGTTTTCTGGACGTTTAATCTCATATATCGCTAAAATCATATGTTTAATTATACTGAATGAAAGTGTATTAATTATTATTTTGTCCCTTTATCACGATCATAGTTGATGTGCCTGACCCTTACGTGATCCTTCGTGTTCGCACAAGTCCTAACAGTAAACAGAAGACCACTACTAAATCAAACACTTACAACCCTGTTTGGAATGAAACATTCCGATTTTACTTACATAATGAAAAGAAAAACACGTTAGGTAAGTATTATCTTATTTCTATTTAAATAGTCGTTTTGCAAGCGTAGTTCTTTACTGCGTTATCAATTGAAACAAAAATAATTTCTTTATTTAACAAAATTCAGTCAATGTTTAAATGTAGTTGTCATCTTAGAGGGAGAGTAAAACTAAAAATATTCACAATATTTGGATTTGGGCATCTTTCTAGATTACTGCAGTGTTCAGACTGTGCATTTTTACAAAGATGTAAACTTAGTTATTTGCTGTTGAGATCCCCACAATTTGAAAAATACCGATGTAGTTGGCTGATAATTATTTACGATATAATTGACTATTTGATCAAAAAATTTTTTTAGGCAGTCTTATATTAACAGTTCAATTAGAGAGTTTCAGATATAACTATGAGTACGACTACCGCTACGTGATTCGTCATTTGCAAGCGACCTACGTGATATTTTGCAGTCGTGACTATGTACGTAACCGTCGTCTAGTTGAGTACGCAATCTTCAGGTAGTCTACACTACGAGTTAAGAAAGTCATCATTTTTAGATCATTTTTAAAATTTCGTTTTATCTGAGTTAAAAGGCATGTTTATTCAGCCTACTTAAAACAGAAATGTTAATATTTAAGCTTTTTGAGCGGCTTTGAAAACTATATTGCCATATTACAAAGTTGTTTTTGTTTACAAATTTATGACAAAAACATTTTCTATCTTTTTTTCAAATCACTGCTTTTTTATTTGGTTTGTTTGTGTATTGGTGCTCATTCTTTGCCTCTTGCCATTTTTTTTCAAAGAAAAATAAAATCTTTGACTTTATTCCATATTGAACGCACAGAGTCTGGCAATAAACAAAATAAAATGGCGGACAAACAAAATATTTCATTAAAGATGAATTAACATTGATATGTATAAAACTGGATAACACAACTCAGTGTTTGACTTAAAGCCGTGTGGCAGCCATATTAGACTATCGACTTTTTCAGTTTTTATATAGGTTTTATATAACAAACTGCTACTCTTGCATTTATTTTGGATCATATGTTTTACTCTTTGGACAAAAAAAGAATTATTATGATGACAAGACTGCCATAGAACGGTTTTAAGGCAAAAACTCATGTTTGCTAAATTTCATATAGAAATCTTCTCATCTTACTTAAATATCATAATAAAATATTTGCATGATTTCTGAAAGACATAATAACATGAATATAAAATAAGATAAATTACATCATCATTGTAATTGTTCAATAATTACAAGAACAATATAATCATAGTATAGCCCACCTCGTTCTTTCCAGGCAAATAAAAACAATCAAAAATCGCATATAGCTAAATTTACTGGGCTGTCATATTCCAAAGACGACAAATTTGAATGAGTATGTCATATTTATAATGGCTGAGTGGATTTCAACCGCAAGCGCTTTATATCAACTTGTGCTGAACTAATAATACGAATTGAATGAAAATTGGCGTTATTTATCGTACCGTTTTTGACAGAGATGTAAACTTCAGATGATAATTCTCCACTATTACTATTTCCACGAGCTCGATCTTTGGTAAACAACATCGCCGTCTGCCTCAGTGTAAACATAATTAAAGATCCACGAATTGCAATTCGTGGCTTAGAATGTTATTTTGAGCATAGTATAGAGCATTAATATTTTCCACGGATTTGTTCCTTTACAAGAAATTTCTCAACAAAAGCATATTGCAAAATATAGATCACCTTCATTTATCGATTAAAACTATTTCAGTATTTCCTGCACTGATCTCGAATATAATAAATTTACTTACTGGACCCGTTGATTTGTATTAAGACTCGAGGGGGAGCATGTCATCCAAATTACTATAAATTATTAGCGCGCGGTCACTGATTGTATATTAGACTGGTTAACGCATCTTACTTTTGTATTACAAAATCACACTTTTCGCGTTTTTATTCTTTTTATGAACTTCTGATCAAAGCAAAATTTTTATGACATGTAGAGGAAAACTGGTAGAGAGTTTTAACCCTGAAGCTATGTTTTTTGGCTTTGTAACGACTGAAAAATAAGATGGCAAGTTGTATTGAAATTTGAAAGTTGAAGGCGACGAGGACAATTTCAGCCGTACGAGGCATTTTTAGAAGATGAATACTTAAATTACAAATTTACAACAAAGTAAGAACAAAGGTATTTATATCTTCAACATATTCATCGATATTGAAGTTGTTCACATAGGAGCTGTTTGAAAACTTTGCTTCGCTTAATGACAACAGAGGTACTTTAATTCGCATATTTTGATGATGTACATCTCGTAGAGTTTGATCATACCGTTTTCAACTTACTATCGCTCATCAAAATGTCTTTCTGATTATTTTTCTATGTCGATTTGTTTTGTTTCTTCACTGATATAATAAAGACGTAATTAGGAATTATTATGATATTAGCGATGTGAATAACAAAGTGTTGTTAATTAAGTAAATTTGTAGCAATCTACCATACACGTCATTGCAGATGAAATTTTGGTAGCAGTTGTAGGATTCTGTAATATTTCTACATTTTTTAAGAAGCAGCATCATCATATAATCTCCAGTTTGTTTTAATAACCAGGCTTCGGACCGCCCAGGTGCGGAGCGCCTCATACATTTTATGACTAATGTTTGAATAATCCTAGATCCGCCCCTGCTCTTTGGTACATGTCGTACCATTTAAACTACCTGTATTAAACAGCTAGTTTGTACAATTTGACAGATTATGGACAATCATGATGATAGTGTATAAAGGTTTCCTTTATGCTAACAGTTTTATAAATGCTATCTCATGTTTTTGTAAATGAATTATTTATTGTTATGGAAAATATGTTAACATATCAAAACCAAGATAAAAACTACTTTATTCAATACTGTGCTAAGGTTTGCTCTTACCTTGAAATTTTTACCCAAGAAAAGCTTGTGACAATATGCATGAAACATTGAAAACATGAAGTTGAATATTGAAGAAGCAAATGTAGGTGCCAAAGAACCTCTTCGTATGTTATAAATAATTAGTAGATATTACTTAAAAGAATAAGAATAAGCTATCTAGTAAAAGAAGCAACGTCTGTTTTCATCATGAGACGTTTCCAATTATGTTTAGGTTCTTTGTACAAAATGCTATTTTTAGATAAACCTGATTTGGAAGTCTTTCACTGATACTTTTACCAAGGTACAAAAGGAAAAATTCAATGGCATGATATAAAATTCAAAAATTTGTCAACCAAGAAAAAATTAGTATAGGTAACAGTAATTAGTAAGGGCACAAGAAAAGAGTAGTGCAATTATTATAAGTAATGACTGCCTATAACAATTATATTATTTGCTAAATATCTTCACCTCTATAATAATGCAGCAATAAATAGTATTATGTCAGAGAAACCGATGCACTTTAATTCCAGAAATCATATTTTCAACGAGAAATTAATTTAGTTCTGTTCAGTACTAGATTCATGGTTGTACCAAATTGTTTACAAACAATCCAGTGTCTGATATCTTGGCTCAAATCAGAAATTTCCATCCAGCAACATGATCATAGTATTTTGATTTTTGTTCTTTTGCTCTCCTAGTTTGAGATGTTTTCATTATAAGTTCTCAGTAAATTTATCAGAATATCATTACGTTATAGCTTGTAAGACACCAGAATCAATCCTACGAAAACACTCAAAAACTAGATACCTTCTTTTTTCGGATATATTTCCAGTTCACGTAGGGGTAAGCCAATATTTTCTCGTTCCTTTTCGGGCATTTTAACTAAGATTTACCAATCTATTCAAGAAGGACAGTTGCACCAAGCTGTTTACAAACAGTTAAAAACTCAAGTAGTGAGCATGGGATTATTCATTGAAGATGCATTGACAGACTACTAAAGAATATCGTTTGCTGTTTATTTCTAACATAGCTAAGACATATCACAAAATCGTTACTTTATCGGACATTTTCGTCATTATAATGTGTGTGTCTATTTCTCAAAATCCACAGAAGGATTATTTTCAATATTATATGCTTTCGTTATCATGGTTGTTTTCACTGGTTGTCATTAATATAAACAGTAATAGAAATCCGGATTCCGGAGGGAGCGAATGTTAAAAATATTTCTTAAAGTGGAAGTTTTGACAACCAAAATTCGCCATTTCCGCCATGTTTTAACAACCAGCTTCAGTCCCTTTTATACCTCCAGTTCTTTATATAGCTCAATGACTGCACTCAGAGCATCGAGTTCTATAATATTAACTGTAGAGGAAAAAAGGCCTAGCAACTATTGTCGAAACAGTGAACTGTAATATAAACTGGAACGATAACTGCCATAGTTTTGTCCCGTAATTGGTTGAAGCCAAATAAGCAACTAAATATTTATCAACCCCCCCCTCTGAAATAATGCGTGTTTTAATCATTGGTTACAATTAATTTCTTTGCGACTAACGTTTGCTTTGGCTTCTTGGCAGTTATAAAACGTGAGAAAATTATTTATTGTTGTATTTTTTAAAGATTTTGTGCTTTAAAATTGGATCTACTAAGTGTATACTACAGCAAGATAATTACGATGAGAAAAATTATCGGCAAGAATCGAGGACGATTGATCGACCAACTTATACTATAAATAGTGACGAACTAAATGCCAAAAAATACATAAAAATATTTCAATATTTAGAGCATTTTATAAAACCATTAGTCTGTGATTCACGACGTCCTTTTACGTTTTAAAAATTTTCCAGTTATATATCTTATTTGATGACCTACAATTTTTCTTGCTTAGTTATTGTTTTCTTTCAACAATATATACCAAGCTAACCGGCTCATTTTATGAATGTGTTTTTTTCTTTTCTCACTTTTATGCTTTACACAGATAGCACAAGAGCTGAGTGTTATGTATTTAAAATATCATTTTGATTTTATGCATTTATATCATAAAAAAAGCTTTTTAATACTCTTTTTGCGAGATCTTGAATTTTTCTTAATGACACTAAGTTATATACATATTAGTTACATTTATGTAAATGTAGATCG